TTTATTATTGTTGCAGGCCACCCAAAACGCTCCACTCCAGCAATCGAAGGCTTTTAGAATTATCACCAACAAGCATCGTCATTTAGCATCCCCAAATTCATCATCACCAAATACAAAAGTCAAAAACAAACCTTAGCTACCCAATCAAAATCCCACCTAATCTTACCTAATCCACCATTAATCAATTATTCAATTATCCAGTCATCTTGCATGCAAAGACAAAAACAAAGAAAGATTAAATGGAGGCATTCGAACCATTTCAGGGGAGGAGGCAAGCAGAAAACACGAACAGAGGGGGGGAAAAGAAAAAATAGAGAGGAAGACTTCCCCTCTCTCTCGTTGGTTATTCTCTAAAAAAAAGGGACATTTTGTAATAGCTTTGTAACCGAGGCTCCCTCCAGATTTTCGAAATATATGCAATAAAAAAGGGGTTCGTTGGAATCTTTTCCTTTGTTTCATTTTCTTTTATGTGTATGTGCTTCAAGAATAAAAACAGTAGAGGGAAATGGAGAGAAGAATACATTTACCTTAAGAGTGACCCTCGCTGGAGAAGGTAGTAGCGTCTAAGGCCACGTCGTCGTTTATGGTGTCAGGTTTTAGTTTGATTTAGGGTATCGATTAGATTCCAAAGAATGAAAGGATGTTGTTGTGGGTTTGTTTTAGGAAGAGTGTTGGTCGTTTGGACAACCATGGGTGGTGGCCGAGAGGAAGACCATTGAGGAACGACGGTTGGCGTCATGGAGGGCTCGAGTTTGGCCGGCGATGGCTTGAGGTTCTTTGGATTCCGCGGTTGAAGTTAGAAAATGAAAGAAATGTGTTTAATGTTTTTCTGGTTTTCACGTTTCTGGAGTGTTAAAAGGAGGTGTCTTCATTTTATTTTTTTTGGCAAATCACGTGTTAGGTCCTTGATTTCTGGAAACTTCATGTTTTGTTCACTTATTTTAGGAGTTAATCATTTAATGTTCCCTTTAATTTTAGCACCCTTTTCGTTATGGTCACTAATTCGTGGTATAATCACCCCTAAGTCCCCATAGACTAGCCGTGTTTTCATATTATGGTCACTAGGTGCATTTGTTTTATTTTGAACTCTATATTTTACTTAGGTTTAATTTAGTCCTTAAATTGTCATGTTTCTTATTTGAATTTAATTACTGCTTTTTATATTTATTCTTTTTTAGTCACTGCTAGTGTTATGTTAATTCTTGTTTTAAGTTTTTTTTTTAATTTTAGCACTTAATTGGGATAATTATTGTTTTAGGCCTTAATGTTATTTCATGGTTTATCGGCATTACTCGTATTTTATTATTTAAAATTTCCGATTGTTACCTTAATTTTTGGTTTTACTATTTAGCTATTCAAATTAATGTTAATATTATTATATATTAAAGAAAATCCTATATATGAGTATTAAACATGTTAATAAAATAAGTTCATTTGAGTTTTCCATATGTGTATGTTTACTTATGTATATCATTTCGCCCTATGTGTATTATTGTTTCATGTATTCTTTGTATGGTAGGTAGTTTATTTACCTATGTTTTAATATGATATATTTACCAAGTATTATTATGTTTTCATGAACAAGTATATATATATATATATATATATATATATATATATGTAAATAAGATAAATGTTACTCATGTTAAATACATTATATTTTACTACGTGTATGTATATTTTGTTCATTAAATACATCTAAATTAATGTTTTAAAATACATACATACATACATATATATATATATATATATATATATATAATATATATATATATATATATATATATATTTCGTTGTTCTTTAGTGTCAATCTTTCAAGAACATGTATTCGGCGTGGAAAGTATCACTTGATCGAAGTGGTACAATCCGATACGACATTCGAACGAAATGAGACTTGAAATAAATCTATTTTATTTTATTAATTAAATATTTTATGTGAATAATTCAAGGTGTTTTTATTAATTTATTTTTATGCAATTATCAATATTCATTTTATATTATTTTATATTTGATTTGCGTTTTTTAATGAGGAAATTTTCTTTTACTATTAAGAAATAGAAGAGTTAGTTTTTCTGATGGAGGATTGTTAATCTCGATATTTCTTTTTAAGTTAAAGAATTTTTCATAATAATATAAATCATTCGAAGCAAATTAATTATATTTTAATAAATGGATCATATTTTAACTTGATATTCGATTTATGATTTCCACAACTACGATAGTGTATAAGCGATACAATACCAAATTTGGACGCTGTGGGGGTGTTAATCCTTCCCCACGCGTAATCGACTCCCGAACCCGTTTTAATCAAATCATTGGTAAAGGCAGACCAGTTTTTGTCTTAAAAATGATTTTTTTAAAATTATTTTTAAAAGACGTTTTTAGGTATTCGACTTACCTAACACAAAGGTCGATGGCAACTCTTTTTAATTTTATCCAAATCAATCCAAAATCATCAATTTTCCAAAATTAAAAACCGTAACTATTTTTAAAACAATATTTAATTGTTACACCTAAAAACAGTTATGACAAATAATATAAAATATTTAAATGTTTATTATAAAATAGTTTATAATTATTAAAATTTATACTATTCTATCAATTTAACAAAAAAGGGAAAGGAAAGACAAATGGGTGGGCAGATTGTGACACCTTAAAACTTCCCCGACAGCCACCTGTCCCTACGCCCTAAAAAAGTTGAGCCCCCAATGTCTGTGATCCGACGGCTCCCATCTGCTCATAGTTTGTTTACGACCGCGATAAGATAAATAAAACCAGAAACATCATTAATTTAACGGTAAAGTATATAAATGGTCACTAAACTTTCCATATGCTTGCATTTAGGTCTCTTAACTTTTAAAACTTGCAATACAGTCACCAATCATTTAGTTCGTTTGTAATACGGTCCCTGACGTAATGGTCGTTTCACTGCCGTTAGGATAAATTATATAAATGGTCACTGAAATTTTTAGATGCTTGCATTTAGGTCCCCAACTTTTAAAACTTACAACACAATCATCAATTACATTCTAAACCTCAAATTCTAAAATGTTTCAATTACATTCTAAACCTCAAATTCCAAAAATACTTCAATTACATGCCCAACCCCAAATTCATATTCAATTCTCAAAATCAACCATAACAAATTGAACTTTAAGCATCAACCCTAAACCCTCAAATTATAACACTAAATGCTAAATTTCCCCACCAATTAACCCAACATAATCAACAACATTTAGTTTATTTTGGTCCATAACAATAAGTGATTATGTTGGGTTTAGGATTTAAAAGTTAGATTTAACCAACTACAAGTGAACAATACTCAATTAGATTCGAAAAAATTATTTTTCGACTTGAATTGATACAAATTGACTTTGAGTTGTAATTTCATAAACTCAACTTAAAAAAAATTCAACTTAAAATCAAGTTGTAAAATACAACTCGATTGTCTAAATTTTTTTACTAATTAGTGTATTAATTTTTAGGTTTGAGTCAAGTCCCTTGACTCTGTATGATATATGTATATCACATATGGAAAAATATGAAGAAATATAAGTATTGTATATGGTTAAAAACTATTTAAATTAGAATCAAATAATATTATAGTATTATAAGTATTTATAATTAAATTTAAACAGAAACTCGAAAATTCAATTCAATTCAACTTGATTTAAATTTTATAAACTTAAATCGAAAAAATTTCGAGTCAACTATTTTACAAACTGAACTGAATTATAATCAAATAATATTAAAATATGATAAATATTTATAATTAAATTTAAACAAAAATTCGACTTGATTAAATTTTATAAAAACAAATCGAAAAAATTTCGAGTCAACTATTTTATAAATTGAATTGAGTATTTAGGTCCAACATAACCCTAAATCCAACATAATCACTTATTGTTCACTTATAGTTGGTTAATTTTTTTTCGAAACGATTATGTTTTAAAGGTTTAGGATTGCTTCTTCAAGTTCAGTTTGTTATGGCAGATTTTGAGGATGGATTATGAATTTGGGGTTGGGCATATAATTGAAGTATTTTTGGAATTTGAAATTTAGAATATAATTGAAGCATTTTGGATTTTGGGGTTTAGAATATAATTGATGACTATATTGCAAGTTTTAAAAGTTGGGGGACCTAAATGTAATTTTCTGAAAAGTTTAGTGACCATTTATATAATTTAGCCTAACGGCAGTGAAACGGCCATTATGTCGGGGACCATATTGCAAACGAACTAAATGTTTGGTGATGTATTGCAAGTTCTAAAAGTTGGGGGACCTAAATGCAAGCATCTAAAAAGTTAAGTGACCATTTAATACTTTACCCTTATATTTTAATTAAATGTTTCTTTATATGGCAGATGATTCCGATATTCCAATGGAATTTTACGAGGAAGGGGTAAAATAACAAACAATTCCCTATTCCAATCCTTATTATTCAACAATCACGTATGACCAAATGTCTTCGGCATGCCCCGAACTGCAAGTTTATTAACACCGCATCTGATGCATTCCTCCAAGCTTTTACCATGTGCTAACCTCTCTTTTCCTTCCCCGAATTGTTATTATTACTATGTTTGGTCGTCTTTGACTCGTAATGCAATTGACCCCCTAAATATCATAAATTTCAATGCATTTTTCATGAACAAAAATAATTTTATAGAAGGGGAAAAATTAAATAAAATAAATTATTTGAAATTAATAATTAAACATAAATTTACTTGGCAAAAAACAAATACATATATTTTAATAAAATGATAAAAGCCAGCTGTTAAAAACCCTAAAATCTATCGGGCTCTAACCCCAATCCAAATTTGGTTGGGATTACTTGCTTAAGGAGCCCATCTCACACTTGCAAGAATTGTAGAAGAGTTGAGTACATGACACGCCAAGGGTCTTTTGGTCTTGGAAAATATAAAACAACAATGAACAACAGGACAAAATCGGAATCGCATAAATTATCAAAATACCAATATTACCCTTAAACGCTTCCTGGTCCCCGCTTCTATAAGTACACCCAACGCTCGCATCTTCTTCTTCTTCATTGCACTCTCTTTTTTGTTTCCGACTTTCCTTTTGTCGTTTTCTGTTTCCTAGGTTTTTGGCGTCTCTGCGAAAGCCTTTTTGTTTTAGCTTCACTAATGGCACAGGAGGAGGTTCAGAACGGAGGAGTAGAGGAGGTAGCTGTGGTGACTTTCACGGCGGTGAAACCTCAGCTGATGGTGGAGGCACCCAAGGCAGCTGATGCGGTGCAGTTCTACAAGTTCGCGTTCGGCGCTGTCGAGGTTGACCGTACTGTGCACCCTAAGCGCAAGGCCGAGCAGGAGCTCCCTCACATCCTCTCCGCTCAGCTTGAGTTAGCTGGCTCCACCATTCTGGTTTCTGACACCGCTGAAAGCTCTGCTATGTAAGCTCCTTTCTACCTCCCCTCTCTATTCTGTAGTTTTTAATTGTTTTTCATTTGTACGCTTTCTTTTACTGTTAATCTTCGGTTATTTCCCCTTGTGACCATTTACCTTCACCCATCGTTGAGTAATAAACTCTTTTTTAGGTTTCGTTTATGCCTGTTTAGACCGTGTTCTTGTTTGGTAGGAAACATATATTCCGCATTTTCTCATATTTTTGGTTTGTTATTTTGCACTCGGCTCCTGGTTTTGCGGTGCTTTTGTTAGAGCTCCCGGTTATTAGATCTGTAATTTATTTTATCGTTACGTGATATTTTGTTTTTTTTCCTGCCTTTAATCTCCATTTTTGATATTTTCTGCTTGCTGTTTGGCTCCAAATGTTTTTTAATGTCTAAAACAATTTTCACGAGGATTATAAAAATGTTTAAACATTATTGAAACTGTTTTCTAGCGTGACTTTTGCAACAGTTTAGTTCAATCGCAATGTTTACCGTTTGGTCTGTTGCACTTTATGGTGTCGTAACTCGTTTGTTTTCATTTATGCAGGTTGAAAACCGAGGGGACAGGATGTGTGCTCTGTCTCGAGACTGAGGACGTAGAAGCTGCTATCGCTAAGGCTGTGAGCGCTGGAGCTGTTGCGGAGGGTGAGATAACTGAGGGCGACGGCGCGTACTGCGGCGGTCGCGTGGGCAAGGTGAAGGATCCGTATGGTTACGTTTGGCTTATCTGCTCCCCTGCCAAGAAGTGCGCAGATGTGGAGGCGTAGATGCCGTTTGATCTTTTGATTTATATTATCAGCTTTAACTTTTCTGTGATGTCAGTAAAAAATGGTTTCTAGCCGGTAGGATTAGGTTATCGATAGCGAGACCTTTGGTATTGACTATTTTGAGACTGTTCTTCATGAACCTCCAGCTGTCAGTTGCTCTAAAATGAATTTCATCGGCGCTGCTAATCTCTTTATTTAAAATTGTTATTTGTTAGCAGTGGCAGAGGAATATTTGAACCTCGCTTCTTGTTAAGACCCATCAAGCTGATGTGGTTAAGCATTTGCTCTGGTGGTTTATCGTCGGTTCCTGTCTGGGTCAACGAGATTGGTACCATTTAGTTATCTTTTTCTTTTGTGTGATAATTTAAATTAATTATGGTTTGTGCGATATATAGTGGTAACAAAGTGGGTTTCTGAAATTATAAAAAAGTATTGTACGTGGGAGGGAATAAAGTAGTAACTTTGACACTTAACAGGGAAACGAATAAGATTCGGGCACGCGTCCTTGTAGTATAAATAGTGACAAATGGATATGAGGGTAGCCTGTTGTGGTCCCAAAGGACGGGAGGAATAGGTGGGGTTCTCCTGTTTATTTTATTTTGATAATTATTTTCTTTTTGTTAATTTGTTATGCATGCAACTTTGTTTCCATTGAAATTCGAAAAACAATTAAAAAGTAACTTGGAATATATAATACTCAGCATTGAATTAAGAGCAGAGAGTGTTGTAAGCCGTTAGGTTATTAAATTTCAAATAAACGTAAAATGAATCGAGTGAGTGGTTGCTTATTGTTGAATGTTAATTACAGTGAGATGAGAAGTGGTTACTGAAATGTTGTGGGCGTGTGCGTATGAAACTGAAAAAGAGACCTTGAACTCGGCCTGATCTGTGTAATGGAAAGTTCGTCTATTTGTGTGTGTGTGAGAGAGACAAGTTTCAGTTTTGTGATGCTTTTGGACTAAGTGGGTGGGCCGAGGTTAACACCTCGCTTTCCCCAAATCACATCATTCAACTTGGCCCTCTTTCTTTCCCTTTTTTTTAGAGAAAAATAAAATAAAATGAGTGTATTTCGTATTAATTAAGGTATTTGAATATCTACACTGCGGCTGCAGGTAGGTGAATTGAAGTGGATTTTTACTAGGATCTCAGCTGCAAATAACCATCTTCGTCCTATATCTGACACTAACATTAAAGGTATATAGATGTAAGTTACCATACGAGGTCGAGGAGAGGAATTTTTAGATCTATTTTTCTATAACCTCTCTCTATTGCTCATCTTTTTCAACTCATCTGATTTTTCGTTCCTCTTCATAAACCCACCACTTAGATCTTCATCTAAACTAAACGGAAATAAAAAAAAAACCATCAAAATTTCGTTTTCTCCATCAACAAAAGCAACATGCAAATCATTTTGAACTTTAAAGGGATGAAAACATATTTAAACGGTCATAATGTTAGATAAAATTAACTTGAACGATTATAGATTTTTAACATGAATATAAGATTTTAATATTGAGAAAAGATGAACATATGTTTTGAATCGAAGTTGTTGAACAAATGAAAGTGAGGGAATTTGGAAGGGATGAGACGAGTCAATTTCTTTTGTCGTTTCAATTTTGACCTAAAAAATAAAATTGTTTGTATGATCTTGATTTGTCTTAATATTTAGGATTAATTTAGGAGTTAATCCCATTACATATATTTAAATTATGACTTTTATTTTAAATTAATCTCTAAACTTTTAGATATATTCTAATTTCATCCTAAAACTATGACCTTCATTCTAAATTGGTCTCCAAACTTTTTGAAAATTTTAGTTTCCTCCCAATATATACGTTTATAATAAGCACATCCTTTGTCGATGAAATCGTTAGACCAAGTTATATTATGGGTAAACTGCACAAACAGTCACTAAAGTTTGAGAAATTTTTGTTTTCCCTATTAAAGTTTCAAAAGTAACAAATGGGTCAATAACGTTATTGATTTATAACAAATCAGTTACTCTCTGTTAATTGTCATTAATGCAGTAACGAAATAATGACGTGATGCGTTAAATGAGCTGACTCAACATGTTTGTAATACTCCAAACATTGGGTCAGTGACTGAAGTGTAAAAATTTAATATTTGGTGGTTTAATTTTAATAAATTGAAAAGTTCAAGGACTAATTTTGGAAATTTTGTTTAGGACTTGATATCAAAGATGAAAGAGTGGAAGGGCATTATGGTCTTTTAATAGGATATGAATTTAATATTGTTTTATAAGTTATTAAGGCATGTGGGGAATTAAGGTTAAAAGAAAAGAATTGTCTGGAAGCCTGATTATCTTCTCTTCTCATTTCTTACCCGTAAACCCCATTGTCAAGGTAAATTATATTTCAAGTTGGTTGTTTCTTTAAATTTTGGGTTGGTTTTGAAGCCTTGAGTAGTATAGAAACTTGAAGAAGCTTTAATATGAATAGAAACTAAGAGATTGGTGAATTAATGATGAATTAGTAAAATGGGTTTTTTTAAGGGATTTGATGATATGATTTAATATTTGGATTTCTAATGATAAATTTGACTTGTCAAGGGTCTAATTAAGAAGTTAGAAGTATTAGAAAGGATTAAGAACATGTTTGAATATTTGGTGTGATTTTAGTTCTAAGTGTTCTAAGGAGAAATTTAGGTGTTATAGAGGAATTATGGAGGTAAGTTAGCTAGGATAAGTGATAATAAGTTTGAGGGTATGAATGGGGCTACAAGCTTAAGATTTAGGTGAAGAGTGGGAAAATTTCGAAGTAAAAAAGGTTAAATCGGGGTTTGGGTATCGATACTGGAGGAACAATACTGATACTATAGGGTTAAATTGAAAAAAAGGTTTTAAACGGATGAACAATAGCGATATTGATTGAAGTAGTATCGATACTGAAGTGTGTATCGATACCCAAAGGTAAGGTATCGATATTGTAAGTAGAGATGAAATTTCAGAATGCTAAAATGGTATCGATACCGAAGTGGGTATCAGTACCCTAGAAGAGAAGTATCAGTACTGTAGGAGGGGTGCCAATAGTATTCAACCTGAAATGTTGAATTAGGTGTTTCATTTCGTTTTTGTAAGTGCAATTTGGTTATTCGTTAATGGAAAGTTGGTATTGATCTTAGACATATTGTTGTGTAGATTGGAAACGACATCATACTGATCAAAACGATATAGCAAAGAGACTGAACGAAAGTTAAAAAGGATTTCGTTTAGAACTTACGTGAGGCAAAGGTAAGTGCAACTCATTTGTTTTATATTAGATTTGAGAGCGGCTTGCGATAAGCCAACCTTAGAGTTTTCGATCGAAAACCATTTTATTTCTTTTACGCAGTATTTTTTATATAATGCTTTATTCAAATTATATTTCTAAAACTATGTTTTTATTGTTATATGTACATGAATGTGAACATGTGATATGTGAATATACTTATACGAAAATATTCTACGTGAAAGTACCCTATGAGAATGTATACTATGAGAATAAGACACTTTGAATAATGAAATGAGACATAATTATATGGTCAAAGCCCAAGGTATATGCATGAGAATTAGAGGTATAGTTGGCATGCCAAGAATCGAGGGTTCTATGTGGTCCTTCAGGGACAAATATGTGGCATTTCGATGCAAATTATGTGAGCAGTGGTGACTGCATTAGTGCATAACCTCAATGTACTCAAATACCTAAAGTTCTCAATAGTATGCATTGGGCTATTTAAAACAAAGTGATATAAACCGAATAATGTATAAAAGAATACATTCTTGTCATGAATTGTAAATTGAATTCCTTATGAAATGTTTTCTATGATATGAGTAAGAAAAGATTTTACAATGTTTTATTATACTCGTACTTGCCTCACTAAGTCAACTACTTAGTGTGTGATTGTTTTGCACGTAGGTTCAAAGAAATCTGAAGGAAAAAGCTAGGAGAGGACAACATATTCTCGAAGGGTATCAGATAAGAACAATTTGAATATAGATTTCTTATTTTGTAATTATGTTGGCATGTATTATAACGTTTTAAATTGAAATGTTTTGATCCGTTTTATAATCATACTATTTATATCTATGTAAATTTTAAAGTGTTTATATCCAACGTGAGTTTGAATTTTCAATGATAAATGTGATTTAAGGGTTTCACCACAGGAATATAAATAAACGTTAAAATTTTTCAACAAGTTTTCAACATGACAATGTTTTAAAAAGTTAATGTGGCACTTCAAATTCGTATCCGGTCGGATACGGGTTGAGGGTGTTACAACGTTTGACTCTTCTTTCTTCTTCTGTTTTTTCTTCTGCTTCTGCTTTTTCTTCTGCTTCTGCTTTTGCTTCTGCTTTATTTCTGGTGATAAAGATGATATTCACTGTTCACTAGCTCGTGAATTTGATAACTATGAAACCTTAGATAAATTATTTCATTTCATGGAACGATGTAGGTTATTTTTCTATCTAGTAAGGCGTGATCCTTAATAGTCAGTGCTCTTGTATATTTTCTGCACTTCCTCAACTTCTCTATTTACTACCATTGTAGTTGAAAATGGGTTTATGGTGGCTGTTGTTCGAGTGTGGGAACTATACACAGTAAATGTATGAATTTTAAGAGATGTATTCTCCTTAGCGGAAGAGATATCAATATCTACATACTATTGAACGCCTTCAAATTATTTACGAATATGAGAATTAGTGAAAGAATTAATTTACTTATATCTTTCTTTCTTTCTATTTGTTTGTGCTTCCTCAATAACTTTTAGCTTGCTCAATTTCTGTGTGCGCATGATGGCTTTTTCCATACTTTTGGGAATGGATCAAAATGTTTTTTTCAACAAATATGACGACATACTGAACATCGAATTTATGTAATGGTTTCTAACTAAGGAACTAAATTTATTAATTGAAAGAAACTTATTGCAAGTTTTGATATGTATAGGTTTTGCAGATGTATAGTTCTTTGAGAACCGCTTTCTCACTTGCTAGTTGCTATATGTGGTGCATTAGTGATCATGTTGGAAATCTATCTCATAGACAAGTTCCCTTTGATT